GCCACCGTGCCTGGCTGTCTCAGCACCATCTTAGCTGCTCTCCAGCACGTGCTGCTGCTGACTGAACTGAACAGCTCAGACTGGAACATTTCTCAGGCTCCTTGATTTGTATGCTGAGGACCTTGAAGAGGAAGGGTCTTCCTATTCCTAAGTATTCCCAGCTCCAACATAACCCCAACTGCAAAGCAACCCTTGGGATCTGACTTCAGAGGTGCACTGAGTTTGATTCAGCGGCATAAGCCTTCCACTAAAGTTACAGAGTGGAATCAGAGTGTTGCGCCTCTCGGTGACGTGGAGGGGGTACAGCCTTTGTGTCTGGCAGTGTCTTTTCTCTCCGCAGAGAAAGCTCTAATTGATAGGAGCACAGAGAGGCTCTGCTAACAAGGAGATAAGGCGCTCCTGGCCCTCGCTGGCTTGTGGCAAGGCTGGTCCTGTGCCCCCGAGGCAGATGCCTTCTGTCATTTGAGCCTCTTCCTTCAGAAAAGCCTGGTTCCCACACTTGCTGTCTAGCAAGCACTGAAGCTTCTCTCCCTGGGCTTGCTTAAGAGGGACAGAAAAGGACCTTCATCTCCTCCCTTTTTATTTCTGTGCAACTCCACTTTTTCTTGAATATATACTATATCTGAGTCATAAAATGCTTAGGTCACTAATGGGGAATGTAAATGCCAGGTGGCACTTTCTGTGACATTTTTGTTTTACAGGCATAGTTCACCAGAGAAGACAGAGCTGAAGGACTACAGTGGAGAGCCAGGAGCCCTGACTCGGAAGTCTAGCCCTATGATTACTTTGTGACTGCTGCGGTGGCGGTGAAGATGTGTCTCGCTCACACGGTTTATGTCTGCAATTTGGGAAATGGGGTTCACTTGGAGTGGACAGAACACTACAGGTACATAGGCTTGGCCAGCGGACAGTAGTTCTGAGAACATTAAAAGTGCCCCTTTGTGCTTAGGCCAGTGTCGGGCAATGGGACGGGCAAGTGGAAGAGGCGAGATCTCCGACCCCGCCCGCTCTCCCACCCGACTTATGTGGCAGCTTGACACCACGTGACTGGTTCTCGTGCAGCGGCACCGCGGGAGGAGCTTTCCACGCGTTATCTCACCTACTGCCCATTCATTCCCTAGGGAGCCCTGCACTCTGCACACTTAAGCTAAGGCTTAGAGAGACTTGCGGTGACGGTCACAGTTAGCAAGAGCCCGAGCCAGGATGGGAATTCTGGTCTGTGTGACCTCCGCGGATCATGGCATTGTGATCCTAACCAGCACACTGCTCAACTCTTCCTCCTCCTCCTGCTTCTCCTCCTTCTCCAATCTATCTTTCCCTGAAATCATTCTGACAAATTTGACTATCTATGGAATGGTGTTGTATATTTTGAAGCACTTCAGAACAGATCTGATCTCTATAGTTATGCTATTTAGTAAAAGCCATGATCAAAATATTGGCTAAGATGATTTTTTAAAATAGTTGCATGTTGAAACTTCAGACAAGGCCATCATATGTAGTAAAGAAACGCGGCCTGCCATTCCCAGAGAGCAGGCAGCACTCAGGACAGAGGGGCATGCCACTGCTTCTCTAACAAGTCTGACAGTGGCTGTGTCTAGGGCTTCATTTGTATAAGCAAATGTAGGACTGAGGCCTAGATGAAAACTGGTATGTTGAAAATAAAATGAACACATCTCAGTACAAAATCATACCTTCAATATACCTTAAATTAAGAAAAAAGCTTACATTTGCCTGGAAGGGTATAGTATAATCTTTGAAAATGAAGAATATAAAATTAGAACACTTAAGAGTTCGCCAGAAATGCACCGTCCAATGAGCTAGGCATCGGCTCCCTTAGATGTGTGAAATTAATTGAAATGCAACAAAATTAAAAATCTACTTCCTTGCGCACTAATTTCTTTCTTTCTTTCTTTCTTTCTTTCTTTCTTTCTTTCTTTCTTTCTTTCTTTCTTTCTTTCCTTCCTTCCTTCCTTCCTTCCTTCCTTCCTTCCTTCCTTCTTTCTTTCTTTTTTTGTATTTTAGGGAAGGGTCTGCAGAGTGTTAAGGGTCTCATTACTAGATCAGACTCGTAGTGATCCACCTGTTTACAGCCTCCCAAGGGCTAGGATTACAGCCTAATCACCTTTTAAGAGTCATGAGCCACATGTGACTTCCGATTCCTATACTGGGATAGCTCAGAGAAACATCGTCACCAGCAACTTATCTCATTAAATGTGCAAACTGCATGAATGACTCTTCTCCGATACCCAATCTAGACCCAATCTAATCTGAATGAGAGCTAAAGGTGTAAATACTGCAGCGCTTGTACTTTTTGTTTTAATTCTAATTTATATTCTCTCTTTTTAAATGCATTTAGTACAGAGTCTACAGGGTCTCACTACACAGATCAGACTCATAGTAATCTCCTGTTTTCAGTCTCCCAGGCACTGGGATTACAGGTGCTCACCACCACACCCAGTCTCAATCACCATCTCAGCGTGCCCAAGGGGTGGGGCCAGCATGGCAGGCCCCAGATAAAACCCTGGTCCTTTTGTCTGCCTAAGCAGGTGCTTTAGTCTGCTGAGCTATCTGGCCTGCCCTTTGTATTCTCTTTTAAAAAAATTTAAAAATCTAAATTTGTATAGGAATTTTCACTGTCGAGTTAGCATCCTTTCCATAACATACATGTTTTTAAGTTAAGTATGATACTATTAAAATGCTGGGAAAAATATAGAGAACTAGATTTTCATCCCAGCCCTAATACTTGGTAAAGTGTCTTCAGGCGAGTTACTGGATTTCTGTGAATTTCAGTTTGCTTATCTTTAGAGGGAGAACAAGGCACTGCGTTTGTAGTGCTGGTGCCTTCTTTCCCACATGTAGTAAGAAGGAACTCGTAAGTTCTCGGGAGCGTGGGAGCAGTTGTTGGTGGCACAGTCTCTCTCTACCGCACTGTAAGGACATCTGCAAAATTCACGGTGACGCTGTGCAGTGAAGTTCTGTATCATTTCTAAACTTTTTTTGTGTGTGTGGAACCAGGGATTGAACTCAGGCCCTTGCACTTGCCAGAGAAGCACTTATTCCACTGAGCCATCTCCCTGGCCCCGTTTCTAAACTTCTAAAAAATATTTTGTATTCTCTTTAAAAATAAAAAAAAAAATTTAAAAATTCATGGTTGGGTATGACTATACCCAGTATCTAATTTTTGGCACAACGTTCTTTTTTTACACAGAATGAGCATGACAGTGACATAACCGACGCTCATCAAGGGTTCCCGATGTGACAAGGACTGTGGGCTCACAAGTGCTTCCTTTTTTCTTTTCTTTAGACTGCCGAGCCATCTCGCCGGCCCTCACAAGCGCTTCCCCACATCATCTGCCTCAGCAGTAGCCCTGAGAGGCAAGGAAGGTCACCTCTGCTTCACAGAAGCTGCGGCTCACGGTGGTCAAGGCACACGCTCGGTGTCACCGCTCAGACACGCTATTTCTGTCTGGCCCCTTTGTCCACACTATGAGCCCACCTCCGTGCACTGCAGAACTCAGTAAATTAAATAAATCTGAACTTTATGGAATATAAAGTATATTTCCATAAGGCCACTATTAAAATGGCTGCTGGATTTGTAATGAGCAGGAAGGCACCGTGAAGTAATGATCCTCTAATGCCTTATCCACAGGAGCTGTTTTCATGAAGTTGACTCTAATTTTTTTTCACATGTTCAAAGGAAAACTACATAAACATTTACTTTCAAAAGCAGGCTATTACTAATGTCTACTATGAAAAATGGCTACGGTTCCAAGGATCTGACAACCTTAAAAAGGTGTGGGAAAGACTGACCCGCTCAGCTGATCTTACTAAGCTAAAGAAAAAGACACCAAAGCAGCACAGACACCAACACTTATGCTGCAGCTTAGAAATGAACTGTGATGACCAGGAATGACGGCACACACCTATAATCCCAGCACTCAGGAGGCTGATGCAGGAGGATCATTGCGAGTTTGAGACCAGCTGGGCTACCAAGTAAGCTCAAGGCCAGCCTGAACTTCACAGACAAACCTTGTCTCAAAAAAAAAAAAAAAAAAAAAAAGGAAACAAATTGTGGCCCAAGAGATATAAAAAATTCATGGTGGACATTAAAATAAACTAGAAGAAAATTAAATGAGCCTAAGGAGCCTGTAAATAATTCCAAGAATGAATTGCGAGCTTATCTTCTGAAGTGTCTGTACACTTTTAAGATCTACCTGTTACCATTTCTCCTTCATCTTACCCATTTTTTTTTTTTTTTTTGGAACCAGGGATTGAACTCAGACCCTTGCACTTGCCAGGGAAGTGCTTATTCTACTGAGCCATCTCCCTGGCCCCATCTTACCCATTTTTGGCTTAGAAAACTTTCTTGGATTTTTTGAAAGATAGATACATTCGATTAAAATGTTAAGTGAAATAAATACAAACTTAAATACCACATGAGTTTCTTTTATGTTTGAAACCTGAAGTATGAATAAACTAAAGAACAAAATAAGAGAGAGATCTTTTGCAAGAGGGAACGAGTCTACCAGGCAGAGGGAGGCGAGAGGGAGGGAGGGTTGGGGAAGTAAAACTAGGAAGATGTGCTAGGTCCATGTACCAGCTCCCCACGATGACTGTGGCCTTTATGTCCTGTAAACAGGCAGTGATCAAAATAAAATCTTAAAACAATAAAGTGAAACAGCTGCTAGAATGCTTGCACAGCTGTATGCTGTGTGTACGGGGGGGGGGGCACAGCTAAATTTGTCACATTAAATGAAATTGTGTGCCTCAGTTTAGAAACCAGCAGTCACTGCAAGGGATCTTGTGTGGAATTCATAGAGTTTCATTTAGCCTCAACATTCCTTTGACTTCTTCTTCTTTTTTTTCCCTCCAGTACCAGGGATCGAACTCAGGGCCTTGCACTTGCCAGTCAGGTGCGTATGCCCCTGAGCTACCTCCCCAGCCCTTCCTTTGACTTCTACTGCAAATATTTCCAGCAGCAAAGAGCGATCGATCGTTACCTTCATCCATGCCATTAAGCAACTCCGTCAGATCTTCGTTTTTACTATCAAATTGATGTTCCTTCCATGTTTCACCATTTTCACTTCGAAGAACGATCAGTTCTCTCTCTTTTCCTCTCATGGACCCAAAGTGAGGGATTTCCACTATGACAGGGCTGGAAAAAAACCCACATTATTTTGGCATTAAGCAAAACACATTGATAAGTGTACTAAAAAAATGTTTCATTAACAGCATTCATTTGAAAATCAGAGGTGCCACTCAGGTGGGGAATGATTTCAAAGCTGCAGAATCATTTGCTAGTCAAATAATATGCATTCGAAGCCTGAGAACATGCCATCAGTCATTCACTCACAACAATTCCTGAAGGCCTACTGTACGTTAGGCACTGGATTTAATGGGGCAAATATTTAGCACACAGTAGTAATAAATTTGAATCACGGAATTGAAAGTTATTAAAATAGGCCATACAAAAGAAAGTTGGTCCATTTCTTTAAAAACACAATAGGTATATTATACAAAATGCTAATGACTTAAAAGGACACAGTCATTTCTTTCAAAAATATATACATTCCTAGCTTGAAGACTGTTACATTTTTTATTTTTACTTATTTTTTTATTTTAGGGAAGGGTCTACAGAGTGTTCAGGGTCTCACTACTAGATCGGACTTGTAGTGATCTGCCTGTTTACAGCCTCCCAAGAGCTGGGATTACAGGTGCGTGCCACCATGCCCAATCTTAATTGCTGGCTCTATGAGACCCAGGGGCAGGGCCGGCAAGGAAAGCCCGGGAATCAAATCCCCAGCCCCTGCGCCTGCTTACAACATTTTTTAACTTTAGCAATAAAATGATCAATTTGATAATCTATTCCCTCCAACAGTCAATTTCCATGACTTTCATGCCCTGTAGCTACAATGGTTTCTCTGATTTTCAATAGACAGTGGGCAGCTTCACTTCCCGGCTCTAGTAGAACCTGCATAGGCATAGGAAAACTTCCTGAAAAAGCCCGTGTTGGCTTGAAATTATGACACAAAGATCTACTGATTGGTGACAGTGTCCTTTTGCAAAGGAATGTAAAAGAATGGCTGCAAATTGAGGATTGCCAATCAAGCCGTGAGAAATAATTTTGCTAAATTTTAAAATGGGATTGATACTGAAAGAGATGGATGGAAGTAAGCAGACCACAATCACACACAGTTCATGGAGTTGGATTGTGCAGCTTTATTTCATGACGTTTAAGTAGACAGTATCACTATTTTCCTACAGAGGTTGTATGAAACCTCATGCCTTAACCTCTGTACTTAGGTTCATGTAGTACTAGAAAGAACAATTAAATAGGCATAGCAGAGAAATGGATAATCATAGTAAAAGCACAGATACTTGATTTCTTACAGAAATATTCACTTTAAATGGGGATGATCAATATGACAATTTTAGTTTTGGCAAAATAATTATAATTCGAATCAGGATTTTAAAAATAATTTCTATGAACATGTATTCTTTAATAGGTAGAAGTGAAAGCAGCTGCGCCTCAGGCTAATAATTTTCAGTTATTAAGGTATTTATCAAGAGTTTTTTACCCAGGCCTTGTATTTAGGCATTGTAGATTATTCTAATTTTTTTTCCAACCAGATACAATCTTTGCAGGTTAATGGCTCTGATACTGTCTCTGTAAATATTTAAGGGATGTGGCTGTGTGCATAACATTCAGCACTACTGGAGAGAAGGTATAAACAAGGTCTTTGACCAAGGAGAAAGCCAAGCATAACTTTTCATAACAGGTTTCTTCATGCAAATTGCCACGGCCAATATACCATCCAAACAAACAAGCGAACAGACAGCAAATACCAACTAGGTCAGCTGAAGACAAAACGAAGCAGTTCAACAGCTCAAGACAATAGTCTGTCTTCTACCTGCTCACTTTTCTTTAGCCATCTTGCGTTCCCAGCACTCTTAGAAACCACTGTACTTATTAATGGCATTTTCTTCTCAAAGCACTAGTTCACACAGCACTCCCAAGTGCTTTCTTTTAAAGAAAAGATCTAATGATACACACATGGGGACACACAGACACGCACACGCACACCACACCCCACTGATAGCTCATGTTGACTCAAAGCCTGCCAATACCTTCTCTTACACAGTGTTAAAGACTATTAGTCTGACTTAAAAATATATTCAGAGGAAACATTTCAAATAAAATCAAGGTGTACAGAAGCACAAAATCATGAAAGCGGAATGCTTGCGGTGAGTGCCACATGCTCGACGAGCACACGAGAGCGGGTGGGCTACGCGGGGTCAAGCACGATGGGCTTCTCTTCTTTCAGTGACGCACATCAACTGAAAGCAATTGAAGGAAAAAAAAAACTTAAAGAATAAAAATAAACTCAAGACAAGAATAAGACGATGAATGTGACAGAAAAAAATTGAAAATGGAAAAAAATTGTAGACATTCTGTATCTTGTCTATAAAGGTCCTACCCAATAAATTTTGTCCCTTGAGGCCCAAGCTGCAGGATTCGGCTAACCAAGCTCTCACCCTCAGTTACAGGGGGAGGATTGGTAGGAAGATGCAGTTTACTGAATAACATCCATGCAGCAGGAAGAGAAACGAGAAGGGGAGACCGTGAACAGAGTGCCGGCCACGACGGAGCCTGCCTGCCTCGCACCCAAGTGCCACCTCAGAGAAAGCATTCGATTTGCTTTGGCTCTCTGTAATCTACTCCGTCACCACGGGCTGTGTCCCTAAGAATTCTCTTGCAGAGGACATGTCCCCAGAGGAGGCGTCTATGCCCTGCACTCACACAATCCCAGCGCTCGTGTTTTCCCTAGGGATGGTGCCGTGCACGGGCTCAGCAGAGAGCATGCTGCTGGTTAGTGACAGCCTCGCCCAGCAAACCAAGTTAGGGAAGAAGGGTCAGCCTCGGACAGCCGTTCACAGAATCACACACTTTGCTGTCACTGGCACTTCACAGAAAGTAGCCTCCATTAGATCCAACTAAGGCATTTCCATCGTTAACTCTAAGAGTTAACACAGGGAAAGAAATTCATCAAAGAGGTGGGGAGAGGGATTAAAATCGACCAAACTTACCCTAAAAATTGTGCCCCTGCAGGACCCATTTCTACCAGCCTACTGGCTAATCCCTCTCCTTCCACCATGGGGGGTGGGTTGGCCAGTTTATGTCTCTTTACCAAGCGGCAGGTGATACGGGTGGGGGCCGTACACTTGCGCGGGGGAATGATGATCCTCATCCCGTGGTGCCGGCTTCCCCGCATGGAGCCGCCTCTTGCATCCACCATGAAGCTGACCAGAAACCTGCAGGGAGAAGACCAGAGACCGGGTCAGGGCGAGCATCAGGCCCTCCTGCACAGCAGGTGCAGGGTCCACATTTCCAGGTGGAAAGCGATCGACAATACAGCTATCAGCTCCTTGAAGAGCAGTGGGTAGCAAATACGGTGGAGTCACATCAAACATGCATTTCACTTGTGCCCTGGGGAAAGACTGAAATGCAGCTTACTCTGGCTGGGATGTGCCCCCACCCCACCAGGAGCCAACTGCCTTGGGGGACGCTCACACTGCAGGAAGAGTATCTCAAAGCTGGAATAAAGTCTACCCATTAAGGAAACACCTGTCTGGGCTTGGTTGCTGGTTTATGGTATCTTGAAGGGCTCTTCTATCTACACGTGATTGCCACCCTCTGCTGGCTACAGACTCTCTTTACCCTGCAGGCAAAATGAAACTCCACAGTACATCTTAGTACCCAGGACTCCCCAGCGGGAGCGATAGCTAATTACGCCAGCACTCTAGTGTTTACTAAGATGAAACAGAATACAAAAATAAAGGTAAGTGACTAGATCTGCTAAAACAATTTTGATGGAAAAGGATTAAATCCTTTCAGTATAAATATGAACTTGAAAGCTGTTTTATAGCACCTATATTTAAATATTTTACACAGCAATATAAAAATAAAACTTTTTTGTTTGAGACAAGGTCTCGTTGGCCTTAATCACGAACCTTCTGCCTCAGTCTTTTGTATGCTGGAATTATAGGCACTGTTTTGTTAGAAAATGTCTCTAAATTACATAATCCAATTGTTGGCTTTTTTATTAAGGCTAAAAAGGAAAAACAATTTCTGTGCACAGAGATATGCAATGTAACCAAATGAGCAGTGCATGTCTGAGTAGGACATACTGGGATCCCTGCCTCTGTCCTGAGGAAATTCAGCATCGCTGTCGGCGTGACGAGCACGCTGGCCAACGCAGACACCGGTCCGTCTGAGGCTGGACTGCACGGCACAGAGGGGGCTCGCAACACACACCTCACACCTAATTCTCACACTGGAACTGTGCCCAGTGTCAACAATGAGAAAGGTTTTTTTTTTTTTTTCTTTTCATTTGTCAGTGTAACAGTGAGAAAGTTGTTTGAGTTTCTAAAGTAAATTTGGAGAGAAAGCATGATCCCATCCATCAAAATCCACGGGCTGAATGTTTGCAATCTGTGCTTAGCAATGAGCTGGGTGAGACTACATGACTAACACTACCACGAAGAGGGACAGACGGGGACAGGACTCTACACAAACAGTGTGGAGAGAGCGGAAGGGTTGATCAACATGAAACTGAGCCGGCTACCAAAATGTCACACTTGAATGGACAAATGTTGTGGCTAAGATGAGTGCATGGATGAACCAAAAAATCTCTCCCTGAGTTTTGCTTATGCGTAGTGTATGGTTGGTGCTTGTTAAAATCCACCTATTGTGCTAATTCAACCTCACAGGACAAGAGACTTAGCAAGCGTGGAAATGCTGTATGCACTGTATGTACAGTTCCTTTTATTCAATAACATTACAAGACACACTGGTTCACTTTCCACACCCATTCCCTACATTTTCTATGCAAAAAAGTCATGCAACACAATTGATAGGAACAAGTAGCAACCAATGAATGTGATATTTAATAATATTTGCGTTTGTTAATATGTAAACTACAACAGAAACTTTACAAATGGGCCTGAATGGGTGTTTCTAGTTTTGTGGGCAGGAGGACAAGTGTTGACACACTACAGACACCAACACAACCAGACTTGAGAAAAATTAACATAAATTAAAGATACAATAGGATGGTTCACGTCAAGGACATGGTCATCACCTGGAATCATACTGAGGAAGTGGAGAAGAATAGCTGCAAAATAATTTAGAAAGCAAATGGGAAAAATTAATAGATAATTAGCAGCAAGCAACAGAAAATGTCAATGACAAGCAAAGGAAAATAAAAGCCATCAGAAAGTAAAACCATAGCATTTGGCATCTGTGGAGCGACCTGGAAATATGTTTGCCTTAGAGGTCTGTACACACTACTCCAGGAACTTGATTCTAGTGAAATATTTTCAAGTGTACACGACTCTACTTTTCCTTTTTTAAGTAAGTAATTCCTCTGTTCTGCCGCACAAGTCACTGTCTTCAAGAAAAGTCCAAGGGAAATGGTACACCATATATGGAGAGACCTCCCCACCTTCAATGTGTAGATAAATCAGGTTCTCACTGTATTATCTTATGTGTCCTCAACTAAATTCAGAACACTCCATCGTGATGTTGGGTATACAGTGGCGGCTCTGCAGCGAAAGTTCACAAGCGAGAGTCCAAAACCTTTCCAACACATCTGCCATGGATGGTATCCTCACCATTAAAGTTTTTTTCTTTTAAAGTTGGGCTTCTTTGCATTTACAATTTTAGGCTCACCTCTAAAAATATTTTAGGCCATTTAAAGTGAATATTATTCTACCAATTCACTGTTCCTTGTGCATCACAGAACCATAGTGTACTGAATCAAAGGCCACCAGGCAGTTTATAGTTTACAAAGTACTTTTATAGAAATGACTGCCATTTGAATGGTACATTGCATTGATTTCTTGAAGTTCTAGAATCAGAAGTCAGAATTTGATCATGATGCTTTACCCTAACGCACTCCTGAGTGTCAGACTTACCATCTGCAAGAAAGGAGGACAATGAGAAGCACCTGTGTCACAGCAGCGGGTGACGTTTCAAATAGGTATTAAATGAGAGAAGTACACATAGGGGATAAAGCGCAATGCCAGGTGCAGGAGAAGAGCCGGGTGGACATCAGCCGCTGCCCTGGGCTTTGAGTAGAAGCAGCAGGAAATGCTCCGTGTAATACACGACACCTCCCAAACATGAACTATTAACTTATTCAGTTTTTAACTGTCCCTTGTCCTTGGTCACAACTAACTTATGGCCTCAGTGTCAATTCCAAAGGCAAAAATACCTTGAAATAGTCTTTTTGTTTTGTTTTGGTCCTGGGAATCAAGCTCAGGACCTTGTATTTCCCAAGTAGGTGCTGTGTCACTGAGCTATAGCCCTGGCTTCTTGAGAATAGTCTTTAACCAATTATTTTTATACTATACATAAGGAAATGAATTATTTCAAGTTTGCATTGCTTAACTGGTAAAAAAAAATGTATCCAGTACTCAAAGCTACCTTGATGTATTGATTTAGTTATCAAAGCAAATTGCCCTTTAGCTCCTGCCTGGGATTGTGCTGGCTGACAGTCGGCAGTGAGCAGGCTGTTCGAGGGGGCCCTATTCAGCACTTTTGATAGACATGCATTTGTAAATTCACTTTTTAAAAGTGAATTTCTATGTTATCTTATAAAATTCAAATCTTTTTAAAAAATTATAACTAAAAAACTTAACTGCAATTCTGTTTCAGGAATATAGACGGTACCTGCTATCACTTGGAAGTGTTCCAAGTTTTTGGTTTTTTTTTTTTTTTTT